AAAACACATGCATCGTATAATCACCGCCTGAGTATTTTTCAAACACTTTGACAGAGAGCTTTTTGTTAAGTTCTTCTTCTGCAATTTGGAATGTATGGAGATTTCTATTGAAATTAGTGATGATAATTCAAATATGAATATAAAAAAATCTAATCTGCAAACACACCCATTTAAGTTTGAGAGGGACAAAAGGGGAAAAGAATTTATAAAGTCTGCCACTTACAGTATTTTTCACCAGAAACGTTGTTGTCTCTGTCACGATTCAATCTGCAGCACACTCCCCACACGCTGTATAATACCTAGTTAAAGCCAGCAGGGTGTGAAATGGTATTTGGAAATAAATGAAACTGACTATGAAACAGTGGAGTTGGGAGATATTGCCATGTCAAGATGACAGACAAGTCCTGGAATGGAGCAAAAAAGTTATTATCCCAAAGAACAGCGAGGCTGGATTAAATATAACCCATGATGCCTCATGCAGCTCTGCCTTCATCCTCACCGATACGGCAGAAATAATACAGACAAAAATCGGGGTGAAAGCAATGATCCCATAAACGACATGTGCTCCTGTTGATTTTTATTTGAACAATCAATTGTTTTTTCGTGCTGCCGCCGTGCCAATAAGTGCTATTGCAAATTGTTTGGTTATTGATGCTCAATATAAAGCTTTTTGAGGAGCTTTGGAGGAACACGGTCCCTGGAGGCTACTCCTGGCCTGATTTACAGCTGAACTGATGAGTCACAGAGGACATGCTGGGCATTGAAATAGCGACAAGTATGTTGTCAGCCTTATTAATTTTTAAGGCTGAGTGTTGTCCTGTGGTTTAGAGGACAAGATGATGTATGACGACCGGGGGAGCTTAGAGGTTAGGGCCTAATTGTTAAAAGCCTGAGAGGGGCAAAGGTGTGTGAAGAGAGGAGGGTTATTCATCAGCCTGTGTGTTAAGAGGCAGACATGAAAAACAGGTAGAGAAAGTTTGCGCAATGCTTTAAATTCTTCGCAAATACATGACTGAAACTAGAAATGAGCGACGGAGGGGGGGGAGGTCCAAACATGTGCTTATTCTCCATCTCTGACATGTTAAATCTTATTTTGCCTGACATTGTTAACTTCAGTAGAGCTCCGTCCAGACGTCGGAAATCATATTTGACAAAGCAGTTTCCATTCCATCATACAAAATGAGATGTGTTATCCTTCAAAGTGAATTGGGAGTGTTGAATCTGAGCTCACATTTTTGTTTAAGTAGGTGCTGCCCTCTGCTGGATTTTAAAAGGACTGTTTATGTCTCCCACTCCTCTACATCTATTATTTAATGGGCTTTTGAATTTTGGATTAAAAAGTCAGCCAGATTAAAATAATTCTGACATTTAATTAGATTAATTGTCATCAGAGCCATGCTAAAGGGCTGACCTATTGAAAAATGGTTGGGTTGTCAATTTAACCTCTAAAGAAATCTTCTCAGTTTTTAATTTCTTACTAGTTCATGGTTTGGGTTATTATCAGGTAGTACATACTTAAACCACATCATCACCTTCAACACTATCAACGTAACTAGTGACAAACAAGAAATAAAACAGCAAAAACCTACATTCCTTTTTACTTATTACCTGAAAATGTACATTCTTGCTGCCTGAAGATCCAGTTTGTAATCCATTTTGCAGGAAGAATACGTACTGGAACTGCTGTTTTTGGAAAGTACTTTGACATCAACTTTGGTCCAGCTCACTCAGTTGCAGTAAAAAAACTTTGAGATGGATGAAAGGTATCGACTTTGAGATATTTCTTGTTAAAAAAAAAAAGAAAAGTTAAGCTTGCACCATTCAACAAATCTTTTGTTAAAAAAACTTGTCTAGGGTTTGTAATCAGTCCTGTTGGTGCTGTGTTAGAAAGTAAGCGTCACCTGCCGGTTGTTGCCTGATTGGGAGAGGAGGGGTTAAAGACTGAAGGCTGGCCGGCTCCAGCTGGGTTCTCTGAGGCTGGTGCCATGAGCTGTGCTCTCATGCGGTTGTGTGGTAAGAGGACCAGTTTAATATCAGAAAGAGCTTTGCTTTTATTAAGACTGGATACAGGTACTCCTTTTTAACACACTGGAAGGGGGTGTGGGAAATACTAAGTGAATGCTAATGGTGAGACTGATGGCTGTTAAGGTGACTGTTTGTGTGTGGGCTGTCCACTGAGTAAATACGTGTCTTGTCTGGCTTTGTCCCCCATATAGTCATGGGAATTAAATTTTTATGCCATAAAAGCTAGCCTGACCTAATCCATGGTGTTTTGAATCCACATGGAAAATATTTGCAGTGACAGTTTGTTGATGTTTGCTATAACTGGAGTGCACTGATTTAGTTGTCACTTTTGATTGTTGAGTGGATTGCTGAGAAGTCTTCGGCACTTGAAAGTGAGTGCCTTTTTGGCTGGAATGACAAGAAACCCAGATTGTTTCAATAAATGTTTCTACTGGAAATGTTTTGGCATAATCAACTTGTTTTTTTCCTCCCCCCCTATTCTTCATCACACATTTAAACTGACCACTCAGCCACATATTGTTCTGATATAATCATGGGTTGTATGTGATTGTATGACTCATGGTAAGGCTTTTCTTTACCCCTCAATTGAAAATTGAAAATGGAGACTTGAAGACCTCTGGGAAGCACTGTTGACTTTAAACTACAAATGTAAAACTTTTTTTCTAATCTAAATCAGCGTGACGGAACTCCTGCCATCTTCTCGTCTTTCCTGAGTGGAGCTGGTCCTCTTTGGATGGAATTTACAGGAAATATTCAATGTGTAAACATGATGCAGAGTGATTGGACAACTCCAAATGCTTTAAAAACAAAGATTCTTTTAAAGCCTTGGCTTGGTAGCAGCAGTGTATTACTGGGGACTTTCTAAAGTTTATATAATTCTAAAGGGGGAAGGGGAGATGTAATGCTAAAATGTTTTTTTTTTTTTTTTTTTTTTCCCCCCCCCCCCCCCTCCACAAAGTCCTCATTGCGACTGATCTGGGAGTGGATGCTACATTTGTGTAGTATCTTGAAGAATCTTATCACAATCCATTCGGATACACTACCCAGACTTCTTTAAACTACATTTGAATGCCAAAATAATCTGTAACAAAACTTTCCACTTGCCTGTACCCTCTTGCCAAGGCTGGATAACTTTCAATGCTCAAGTCTGGAGACACTCAACAGATTTTCAGCCGTGCTCTGTAGCGCACAATCCACAAGGTGGCAGCGTCAATCGGCCGAGGCAGAAGAAGGTCAAATATTCAACATAATTAGATTTGGGGTAATACAATCTTTTGGTGGAGCACAAATGTTGGTACGGTAAACTGGTTTGTTAACCGACTGAACCTGTGTAAAGATTTTCCTGCTGCTTTGGTCCACTGTAAGATATGTGTTTGGTCAATTAGACCTGCCCCTTTTGTCTTTAATCTTAAGATTACTGACTAAAGTACCTGGTATCTGACTTATTGTAAGAGCTTATTTTAACAGGCATGGTCAGAACAAAAAGAAAATCATATGCAGCAGCTTTTAAAGTTCCTCCTATTGTTAAAGAAAATGAAACTTTAAACTTAAGTGAAGAGCAAAGACATTTTTCTGACCCTCGCCACTAATTTGAAACTTGATTTATTTCATTTTTCTAATACATTTCTAAATTGGGTAAGATACTTGAGCTGAACACTACATTACATTCTGTACATAAATCTATACAACTGGCCAAACAGCAGAATCCTTTGGCAACAAACAAGGAAATCCCTCAATTAATTGACTTACAAAATCAGCTTTAACAGCAAAACTTGGTCATTTTCTTTGTCATCACATGTGGAGAAATCCTTGTCCACAAGTAGTCAATTAACCTTTGACTTCATTGATGTTTGAAAACATTTGCTAAACAGATCTTCTTAAATGTCCCTCAATCAAATACTGTAGTTGGCTGGATGTGGACACTCTTTTTTCCACTTATTCTCTTGTAAATTTGCTGCAGTGTTCAGGATTAAAGCCCTAGCTTTGCATGACCTAGTTTCAGCTCAACTTTAGCTATTAGGCAGCTCATCACACCTTTTAAAAAGATTACTCTGAATACAGAAAAGTTTGTGATCAGTCCGCTGGCAACAAATCAATACCGAATCACCCCCAGGCTATCTTTACAGATAAACTATTCGTGTTCAGACTTTGTCAAAGATTACTGTTGAATCTTTCAGACTGAACACAGTCTGATTGTCACCATGTTGTTTAGAAAAGTAAATCATAACCCCTTGGCAGACTGATGGGCAACGCTTTTATCTGAGATTCAATCAGTTGATTTCTTAAAAACGGCATTGTTTCCACGAACCTGAATGATCCAGACCTGCAAAGTATCGACACCCCTGCTTTTACAGAGCTCCTGGCTGGTGATAACTTCAGCATTTGCATATGAGAAGCAGCACTTGTTTGTCTCTTACCCTCTCAAGGATTTGGGGGGGGGGGGGGTTGGGAAAGCAACATGCATGTTGTTTTTTTCCACTCTGCATGCACAGCCCCCAACAAGTGTATTTTCTCTCCTAAAGGCAACTCGGATGCATCGAGCACGGCATTGTTCAGCCCATGGTGGGCTCAAAAAAGTGGATGGCGGATCAGGTTGCGTAATTTTCCACTCGAAGCGGCGCAACCTGTAGTTGACACCACCGGCCACACGGTGGCGCCTCACAACCGATCACCTGATGGATCCATCCTGTCCGCTTTCGCTAGAGTCTGCCCGCATGTCAGCACGTTTTCGCTAACATATCAGATTCAGATCCCCTCTTTGGTTTTTTTAAAAATTTTCTCGTCTTATTTTAATTTACCATAAGAGAATATTGAAAAAAAATTACATTAAAAAAAAAAAAAAAGCTGGTAACACGCGGGAGCCGGTTGAGTTTGGGGGCGTTGCGACCGTCCAATGACCGGCCCTTCATCACCTTTGAGTACACGCAGGGTTTCCGTCTGACCAATCAGAGACGCGCCGTCCCAGTTCCTGCTCTTATAAATGCCGCCGACTCAGGAGGGGATCGGTACCGGAGAATGAGAGAGCCACTAGCGAACCAGCACAGATCGAGACTCTGGACCCGCCAGTCCTTTAGTTTTTATTTCGATTATCTTCTTTCGCCAGGTAACTTTCCTCCTTCCTCTCTCTGCTCGTGTCTCTGCTTGATTTACTCAGACAACAGCGTGTGCTCATTGTGCCAGACTTTTAATTGTTATTGACTTTTTTTTTTTTTTTATATATGATATATTTTAATTAAAAATTGAAATTGACTTGGTGTTTTTTTTCAGATGAGTTGTTTGGATCTTAAATCTGTTTCCATCTTTTACGGCGCTGCAAACGATGCGATGCGAGTTGTTTTTTTCTTTTTGTTAAATTTATTGAGGAAGCAAATGATGCAACGCAGCCTCCCTCTTGCAGTCGCCTTTTGTTACCACGATGTTGGCTACAAAAACGCAAATAAGGGGACGAGTTCAGCTCGAGCAGCTCGTCCCAGTTTGTTGTCTTGTGCTTATTTTTCTCGAGTGTCACCTTTTTGTCCCTCCAGCCTCGGTTGTAAGATCGATTTTAATAAGTCGACATTCATTCTGAATCGTGCTTCTTTTTTTTTTTTATTCCCAAAAGGGGCACAGAGTAAACTGAAAATGTACCCCTCTTGCATCCTAGTGTTCTGCCCCCCTCCCCCGTCTGAAAAACGGCACAACAGGGCGGTCTTAGTGCCCACCACCCCCAAAAATGCTGTTATGCAACATGTGCCCGATCCAAACAGGGGTCTCACATCTGCTCTGCTCTCGTTCCCAGGTGTGTTATAGTATCCAGTAAGATGGCCACCTCCGCCAGTGCCAGCTTGAGTAAAGCTGTGAAGCAGCAGTACATGGAGCTCCCCCAGGGAGACAAAGTCCAGGCCATGTACGTGTGGATTGATGGAACCGGAGAGGGGCTCCGCTGCAAAACCAGGACCCTCGACGCCGAGCCCAAAAGCATCGAGGGTGAGCGGCTGCCTCCCGAAACTGGAATGCAAATGCCCCCCCCCCACACCCCACCCCATGCGTGCGCGTGCCCGCAGAGTAACGCGGCGGCTCTCTTTGTCCCTTTGCAGACCTCCCTGAGTGGAACTTCGATGGCTCCAGCACCTATCAGTCCGAGGGCTCCAACAGCGACATGTATCTGATGCCCTCGGCCATGTTCCGCGACCCATTCCGTAAAGACCCCAACAAGTTGGTCCTGTGCGAAGTCATGAAGTACAACCGCAAACCTGCTGGTAAATAAATTAATATATACATTTATTTATATATTTTTTAATGGACCATTACATAATGTGACAGAGTAACGGTGTTTAATTACAAAATTCTAAAAATGGAATATGGAAGCTATTCAGAAAAGGGCATTTCTGCTCTCTGTTGGTCATGTAGAGATTGATCCCAAAATCTGGAAAATATTTCTACAGTAAGCAGTGATTTGAATGCATCCTTTTGCAAAGAATTTCAATGAAACTAAATTAAAGGACTGCTGAAGTCATGAATACTAGTTGACAGATAATATAACTAATCATGTCACTTTCAGGGTTTCAGTTTGTATGATTAGCCTTTTTTTATGTTTAGGGCGCCTGAATATAAAAGTGAACCACATTTAAATAACCTATGATAAATACCGAATCACCATAATGGAAAGATTTTAGCCAAAAGCCTTCCATGCCAATGTTGCGCCATTGGTCATTAAATCTCTCTTTACCCTTTGCAGAGACCAACCTTCGGGTCACGTGTAAGAAGGTGATGGACATGGTGACGGACCAGCATCCCTGGTTCGGCATGGAGCAGGAGTACACCATCCTGGGAACGGACGGGCACCCGTTCGGCTGGCCATCCAACGGCTTCCCTGGACCTCAAGGTAAAACGGCCGAGGCCTCGCAGTAACCGGCTCCACGCGTGAATAGGTGTGGTTTCGGTGGGTGCTTGAGCTCTCTGTGTCCTTGCAGGCCCGTACTACTGCGGGGTGGGAGCTGACAAAGCCTACGGCAGAGACATCGTAGAGGCCCACTACAGAGCCTGCCTCTACGCCGGAGTCAACATCTGTGGAACCAACGCAGAAGTGATGCCCGCCCAGGTAGGAACAGGTTCCCAGGTTCAAATGGGTTTCGTAAAGCTTCGTTTTTGTGTCGCTCATAAAGATGAACTTTTTGTGTGTGTGTGTTTTTAGTGGGAGTTCCAGGTTGGGCCGTGCGAGGGGATCGACATGGGTGACCACCTGTGGGTGGCGCGCTTCATCCTGCACCGAGTCTGCGAAGACTTCGGCGTGGTGGCCTCCTTCGATCCCAAGCCCATCCCAGGGAACTGGAACGGGGCCGGCTGCCACACCAACTTCAGCACTAAGGAAATGAGGGAAGACGGCGGGCTGAAGTGAGTGGAGGCCTTCAGTGGCTTTTTCTCAGGTTCTGCCACCAAAGGCTTTTGCGTTTCTGACCGCGCCCTCTCCTTTCAGAGCCATCGAGGACTCCATCGAGAAGCTGGGGAAGAGGCACCGCTATCATATCCGTGCCTACGACCCCAAAGGGGGGCTGGACAACGCCCGGCGCCTCACCGGCCACCACGAGACCTCCAGCATCCACGAGTTCTCCGCCGGCGTGGCCAACCGCGGCGCCAGCATCCGGATCCCCCGCAGCGTGGGCCAGGAGAAGAAGGGCTACTTCGAAGACCGCCGCCCGTCCGCCAACTGCGACCCGTACGGCGTGACCCAGGCCCTGATCCGCACCTGCTTGCTGAACGAGGAGGGGGACGAACCGACGGATTACTGAAGCGCACGGACTGACTCCCACTGCCGTCCCAAACCTTCTGTTTTGTTTTTTTTCTTTAAAATAGTACTGTATTTTTCTCCTTTCTCCCACTGAGATGATTTAACTCATATTTTTAATGGCTTAAAGTTGGCTGGTCAACTTAAAATATGACAAAGCGAGATTCATGGTAGTTCTGAGCTGGTAATGTCAGGGTATGTCTCTCCTGGTGTATTTAGCAGGGATTGACTTTTGTAACATTGTTTTATAGCCCATGTCATATCATTCATACCTTTTCTGTCTATCGGAGACTAAAATGAACTCGAGCACAAGGGCACTGCAGAGTAGGGCTGCTAAGGCTGGAAGACATGTGTAACTTAATAAATCCGACTAGTTCATGTACTGTTAATGTGTTGAACTGACTTTTCAGCTATCCAGTCTTCAGTGTTACTAATGCTCTCATTTATCAAGTGTCTATTTTTAAATGGCAATGTCGTTTTCAGATTCTGACACACTGGGTCAATGTGTATGGTACATTTTGTAGTTGTCTGTACCCAGATGTGAGTTGTTAATGTGATGGATCTGTCCATAATGCCATTTGTAGATTTCCTCAAGGAGTTTTATCCTTTTGTTAACTGCAACATTGTAATGCACCTGATTTGGTAAAAGATTACGTTTACTGAACCTGGTGTTTTTTATTGATACATTTAAAACTTTTATTTTTATCACAACATGGTTGTTTGACTCTTGACTTCAAAATTGTTCATGAAGCCATTTGCGCTCTTGCAGTGGGCAGGATGAGGGCATGGAGCGCTCCCCTATATTTGGTAAAAAGGGTCACAGCACTTTTGGCTTAGCCTGAAACTGTAGAGCTGTCTTCTCTGCACGGGACTCCACAGTTAAACACTCCAATTACTCCTCCAAACTTTTCCTAGCTTTGTAAGGGGGGGGGAAAAGTTAATTTAATTTCTCAAGATGACTAGATGGCTACAATTTTCCCTGAGTTAACTTTGCCAATAGTTTGCTTGATTAGGAAGTCACGGGAGCTCTCAACACTGTGGTCCAGAATGTGGCGAAATCCTTGAGAACATAAGAGTTTCTAGCTGTGTTCCGGAGTACAGGCCGGTCCCCAGATTGTAGCGCGACTGCTGATATTTGCAAAAGCTTGTTTTAGCAGCTGGTGCAGCAGCATTTTACTGTTGGCAGTAAACACAACAGTAAAGTGAGGCGCACACACACACAGACACACACAAAGGTAACTCAATTCAGGCCTCCCTCACGGCACCTCTTTGCCAGTTGTTCTGATAGTTCAGTCAGGCTTCTATTTGGCCGAGAGATCAACAGTGACATTGTTCAGACGTTTTTTTTCCGCAGACATGTGGCTTACTGGAAACCGGTGCACTCACGGGACAGTTATTAGACTCCTCCACGGAAACCGCCCAGGGCCAATAGTCTGTGAAGTGCTGTGTCATAAACCAGCTCCGCTGATTGTTATAGGTGTGAAGTGGTGTTGTTCTGTCTGGATCAGTTTTTGACAAAGAAACCAAACAGGAAAAGGATTCTTTCAACTTTTCGATTTGTAGTTTTATTATAAGAAAAAGTTCTAAACTTACTTTAGACGCACAGATTTGATCTGTCAACTTTGAAACCGCATTGTTGTTTTGTGACAGTCCCCTGTTACCTGTGCTAGGTGTTATTTCAGTGACCGTTGAGCGGTTTTTGTTCTGCCGTTTGAACAAAGAGACACGTGAACAGCATTCTTACAGAAAGAACATAATATTCTCATTTCACCAGGCGTAAACATGCACCTCTGGTTGGTTCTCCCTTCTTGGGGGAGGGGGGGCACAAAGTTTGTTCCTGAGACCTTTCCCCTACTTCCCAGTTGCCTTCACAGCACAGTCGTAGTCCGCTCCCTGATTGGCTTTGCCTGGAACAACTCAGCCAATCATAAAGTAAAGGGCAGGTTTAGTCCTGTGTCAAAAGATGCTGTTTGGCCTGAAGCCAGTGGATGTACTTTAACTTTGTTTTTTTCACTTAGAAAATATGTTTTTAACACGGACTGAACCCGCTACCCTCCACCTGTTTTTGTTCAAGTCTGTGTCGGGTCTTCAGACACAGAAAGGCACTCAAGAAAATGTCTTTGTGTTGGGAAACAGGGTATTACAACAAGCTTCAAAGCCCTATTCCGAGTATATATATTGTAGCTCCTGGTATCGTACAGCACAATTTGTATGAGGACAAATACACTGTGGGATGTTATTTTGAAGTCATTTCCACACAAATGCAGCACACAAAAACAACCATAGCTGAGATCTTATTGGAAAGTGCACTATCTAGCATGAATTCAAACAAATGATCATCTAAATAAAAATATGCCAGCCAGACTCTTCCCAGGGCTCCCAGTATAACTTAAAGTGTCCAACAATCAAAAAGGGACACCATGTCCTTTTCAACAAGTCACCCACTCATCTCACCTCTATGCTATTTCATTTTTCCTTTTTGAATCTCTTGGGAAGATTATATAAAGATAAATATTTTCTTTTTAAAATAAATCTAATAAAAAGATTGTATAAATACTGGACTTGAGAGAGGCAGCTCTATAATGCACAACCCTTTGCATATTACGAAATTCAAAACAGTGGTAACTGGCTTTTGATTCATAGTTCGTTCGCACTTGTTTACTACTTGAGAGCCATAATGCCATCGCAGGAAGTGGGGAGTACCACCCTGCTACGATCTGTGAAAGCTACATAATGACATTCAGTCACTGACTAAAATCCAGTCCACTTCCTCGCTTTGAAGCTCAATAAGGAGTTTGATTTGCATGCAGAATCGAAAGCTCCCTCTGCCTGGGAAGCTCGAGCGATGGGGAGACACTGGACAAAGGATGGAGAGGGATGCTGCCCTGTTGCTATGACGACCACCGGAATGTACAGGCTGAATCGGGGTGGTTCTTGTACAGGGTGGGAGAAAAAAAACATATCCATGTTATGTAAGGGAAAAAAAAATAAAAAATAGGAGCTAATATTTAGAGCTGCATCCTTGCCCAAATGCACCAAATGCAAGATCATAGTCCGTCACAGTATGTCATCAGTAAATGCGAAAATGCTGGAACTTTTGCATTCCCCCATATAAAAAGGGATCTCGTTTCTGTGCTCTAACGTGAGATTGCTTGTTAGAGCAACAGGATAACTGGTGCAACTGGGCGTTAGTCGTTTTTAAAGGTTGTCATTGTATTCTCCTTTATGTAGCACTGTTGTGTAACACATCATACTGGCTCAAACCAGTACTGGCTCCTCTCTATGATGTGAAGCGAAGGAAGAACATGATGCATGAAAATCACCTCTTACCCAAGATTAGTAGAGCAGCTTGAAAAACAACTTGTTCGGTGCAAATTGCTGCAAATAAAAACTGTAAAAGATGTCAGGGAACACAAAGCTGTCTTATGGCAAGAAGCATGTATATGATCCTATTAGAGATGAAACAGATGAAGCGTCTCTGCTTATTAATTAAGGTGTATCTTGTGTAGCACGGGTGTCTTTAACAGTCTTTTTCAGACGTTCTCCCGTGCATACCCAGTCAAGCCGAATGTGTTCGCATTATCTCCCACAGACACGTGGTATTACCCAGCCCTGTATCTGAGGGGTGAGAATAACAAGCCGTTGTACGTTTACATCATCTGCACACTCACATAGTCATCATTTCTTACTCACAGATGTATCATGACATGGGTCTCCTGATTGGCCGAGTGCTCTGGTGTGATTGGGAAAATATTGGAGGTCCTGCAGCCACTCAAACGTACCTGTGCTGTGATTGGTCGTGTCATTACACATGACACAGTGACACAGTTTTCACTGGGGCTGCTGCAGCTCCTGTCGCAGTCTGCCCCTGTTTTAGAGGATAAGACTGCTGATAATTACAAGTGGAGAAGCAGGTCTTTCCTGGCCTAGCAGAGAAACCAAAGCTGAAACAAAGAGAGGAGTGATTTAGTGTGCAAAAATGCGTCAAAGCAAAAATACTGCAAATGTGGAGGAGTAACATGTGTTTGTATATGTTTGCGGTCATTTATATATCATGAATTACACACACAAATGGTTTGAGGGATGAAGACAAAATGGCAGAGGCAGTGAAAACTGGAGATTGCATGTTGGGGCGCAGAGATACTTGACCTGATTTTTTCTGACTGTTCAGAAAAAATCTGCTTCTTAAAATTCTTTTTACTTTTATACAACCATTCTGTGTGCTTTTCTCTGTCACTGTTGTTGGTAGGGGGGGGGGGGAAATAAAAAACTGTGGAATTTGAAAAAAAACTATTCTAACTTTGATGTTAGGATTTCACAAACAGTTCTAGTACAGAACTAGACATACTCCAGTTTTGTACTGGAACTAGAATAGCTGGCCAAATGGCTGGCCAGTGTCCAGGACTCTTGTAACTCTAAATTCACAAGAAGTTCTCCCCTCCCCCAATCACCTCCTGCTATTTTATCTGCATGGGCTGTCCCTCCTTTAAACACACCCAACAAAAGATGACCTGTCTAACCCCTTAAGCCTGCTTTCTCTGTAATTTTCCAGTGTGACAAAACAAACATCGAGAGCCATTTCATGATGGGAAAAGAGTTTTACAAATAGAATTTGTCAGCCCTGAAACTTCACAACGGTGAAAAGTCCAAATACTTAACAAGTCAATGCTTAAAAAAAACTAAACCGTCAAATATGAAAATTAAAATGTCAATTAAGGTTCAGAAAAATGTTTGTAGAAATGACAAGAGCTGATTATTGCACATCAGGAACCCTCATACTTTTTGAGCATTCTATTCATGTCTTTCTTGCCTGTTTGTCCTGTTCACTTCAAACTAGAAAGAGTCATTGGAATGCAATGCAGTGTTAGGTTTTAGTGTGTTGTGTAGAATGGTGGTGTCTTTTTGAGGGTCTTCTCCCGTTTTGTGGGTTTGGGTTATTTCAGAGAACAGAGCTGAAAGCAGTAAGTTCTTTATGAAATGAGGTAGATAGAAAGTATGAATGGGTACAACCTGGAAGTATTAAATTAATTACTTACATGCTACACCTCAGTTAATGTAAAACCCATCACTGTACAAGATATACGTTGATACACATACAGAGTCATCGGGTTTGAGCTATGTCTGCTGGACGAAGGAGAAAGGTAATAACGCCACTTTATGGCTCAGGGAGTCAGACTTAATCATATTATGTGCCTAGAGGCACCAATGAAAAACAGCACAAGTGTGTGTCTAGGTATTGCTGTAGTAAAAGAGAGTAATAAAATCAGCGGAGATATAAACCAGTATATATGTCACGAGACAGATTTTCAAGTTGGAAAGATGAGATATCAACTGTTGAACATTCACACAGCTCCTTCAGATGTTATGTGCCACATGCCATAAACAGGCAGTCAAATAAAGATTCCTGAAAGACCTGCTGACTGTCTTCTTTCTTTCTTTTTTAGCTGCAAACGTAATGATCTCTGTCTCCATGGGTTTGGGTTACCCTGGTATTTGCTGTCGCACTTCCTTGTTGATAGCTCTGGGTGTTCCTGCACACAAGCAGTTCCTGATACGTGATGATGTGCAAACAATAAGAGCAGCTTCCAATTAATACGGCGAAAAAAATGAATGAGAACTTTTACTGGTTGCTGATTCTTAATTAATTTTATGTTGATAAGAAAACTGAAATGAATCAAATGGAAACAGAATTATGACTAAAAAGATCTGGTGG